CATTCCCCCTCCGCCTGGAGGAGGGGGCACGCGCGCGAGCGCGCAAACGGAGCGTAGCCCGGGCCCATTGAAAAACACCCCCCCGGCAGATACAACACATCAGGGTGCACTGGTCTCATTCGTGCAAAATATGTCCCCAGACACAAGCAGATAGCCGCATACCAGCTGCAGCCGACCCGCGCGCATTACGGCGGGCGGGCGGGCGGGCGAGCGGGCCGGGGGGGGGGGGGCATAAATAAGTGAGGCCCGCGGTATGGGGAGAGAGGGGGGCACACATCCCCAAGGGTCCCGCCGGACCAGGGCGCACCTCCTCCCCGCCCCCGCCTGCTTCGCTGAGGATGGGCGCGCGCGAGAGAGAGAGAGAGAGAGAGAGAGAGAGGGGGGGACGGCGGAGAGCCTTGGAGGGAGGAGGGGGAGGTCTGGGTGAGGAGGAGAGAAGAGAGGAGGAAGGGCAAAAGAAGCGGGGGGGGGGGCGGGAGAGACAGAGAGAGGGACGGAGGAGGGGAGGCAGCCTACCTGACGGATGGGGAGGAGGGAGGGCAGGTGCCTGTCACGGATGTGCGCGGAGGGACTCTCCCCTGAGAGGGGGGATGAGAGTGGGGGCGAAGGGGGGGGGGGAGAGAGAGAGGGAGAGAAGGAGGGGGGCGGCGGAAGAGAGGGAGAGAGAGAGGCGGGCGATCGGCGGACGCCGGGCAGGGAGAACGGGCGGCGAGCGGGGCGGGGGAGAGAAAAAGGAGAGACACGGCGGGGGCGGCAGGGAGGGCGGCAGGGAAGGCGAGGAGATGTCCGGCTCAATGTCCGAGCGCTTCGCCACTCGGACAAGGGCAATTTTGAGGCTTCAATCGAACGGATGCGCGCCCTCGGCTGCTCGCGCTTGCCCGCCGGCTTGCGGGCGGCGTGCTTGGCAGGCACGGGGCCGGTGGACGGGGCGCCCTGGGCGTGGAGGAAGGGGGACGATTGGGGGATTGCCAATCGCGCGACAGTGCGTGGGGCCCCAATGCATGCTCACCCCCCGCCGCCCTTCTCCCCCCCCCCATCGGTTGAGAGCTGCCCTGGTGGGGCATGCATAGATGCGGAGGGCCCGAGGGGGGATATGCCAGGACGTGCGGGGGGGGGGCACAGGGGCGCGGGGGCGCAGGGGCGCAGGGGG